CCAGTTTCCTGATTCGTTTGGGAAATTGTTTTGGGCCAGGATGCTATATATACCTAAATGATTTTAGGGTTAAAAAAACACGAAAAAGAGAGGGTTTTGACGGCTCTTTGAGATTAGAAATCTTAGAGAGAGGCCAATTGTGAGCATTGTAGCCTTCTTTAATTAATCAAATAATTATGTGATGTGGCTCCCGAGGACGTAGGCACGTTGCCGAATCTCGTTAAATCTGATGTGTTCCTTCTTATTTATCTTTCCCGCAATTTTTCTTTTATTAATTTGTTGTGATTTCCTACTTGTTAAACTCTTAGCACAAGATCCGGAAGGGCACAAGTTCGATTGATTGTTTCGAATCCCCAACAAGTCTTTGAATGCTCTAGCCTTTCACCATGTATAAATCTTTCAGCATCTTTTTCCTCATGTATTAAATTACAATACCCAACTCCATGTGGATCGTAGAGGTGGTCCATGTGGGTACAATCAGTAATTCACGACTCTTGTAAAGGAAAACACGGGAAATCATGAAAGATATAATATAAAGGAACTGAATTCATTTGTAAAAGCATCTTGTTCTTCAACTGAGAAATTTGTACCCTAGATCTTATATCTTTTTCTTGCTTTGTTGTCCCCTTAGATCTTCTTCCCAACTGAGAAGTCTCTCTCTCTCTCTCTCTCTCTCTCTCTCTCTCTCTCTCTCTCGAATCCAAGTAGACAACACTGAACTTTTACAGTTTAAAAAAGAAAAAAAAAACCAATAACTACATGAGCCATTAATTTCCTGAAGAAATATTATTACATATTAATAAAGATGCTAGGGCCCATGCGGTTAATTTGGTCCTTGATCCTTGTAACTTAATTACTCCAGGACAGCTCCCTCGATCACATGCACCAATTACTAAACTAGACAGTGAAGATGGAGCAGTTGAAGCTGCACCCATCCTTGCTCTTGATATTTCAAATTTCATCAAAAAAAAACCCCATCAATTTATTTAACCCATGAATAATCCAAAAACCAATACTTAATTAATTCCTAATTTTTAGTTTATTTTAACCCGTTTAAATCTCTTCAATCTTAAAAATCATGTAACATAACATTTTTCCAAATTCTATTACAGGACAAAGGAGAAGCTACTATCTTGACTTCTTCCGGTCAAACCACCACCATCACCTTATAAACTTGTTACAGAGATTTCATAACATCAAAATACTATGTCTTTTTTTAGGTAGATAAGGATTCTACCACAAATGCTACACGAGACTAGATATATAATACACCTATGCAGCAGTACCTTGGCTAGATCCATGGCTTCCTACAATCGACAACAGCGCATTCTTCACGATCACCATCGAATAGCAGCCCCTTAGGCCACCATTGTACCTCAGAGTAGACGTAGGTGAGACCTCCTCGTCTGAATTGTTGTCGTCAGGCAACGATTGTGTGTTTGAAAGCCGACCGCGCTGGTGTGAGTCTGATGAGCCTGAGGACGAGGCTGACGGCGACGACGAAAGCGAGCTGGTCCTCTTCGGGCTGAGGAGCCCTGGGAGTATGCAGTGCATGAGACCGTTGATCTTCGGCGATGAGCTCTTGGTGCTTTTCTTGCTCTTTTTAGGGTTGAAGTGGTAGGAAGGTGGAGGGGTGAGTGGTGGGAGGGTGCTGGTGGTTATGGTGTGTTTAGGCGTGCCCGGTTGAGACTCCCACTCGAAGGGTACGGCACCGGAGGCTCC